AGACGCCATCTTGAGTTCACAAGTTGCTTCCTTGAAGACGTCAAAAGTCCACGTCGCAAAATTGTCTTCGATGCACCAGCATCTACCAACAATGCGCATTTCTTTCCGTCGATCTGTCCATCTACGTAGACGCTGCTGTTATCATGCCGTAGGGATGCCACAAAGATGAGAGGGTCTTGAGAATGACGGGTCGAAGCTGCTCTCTCGAAGTCGACTCGTTCTAGTTTTCCTGTGGCTGCGTGGAAGATGGTGCTTCCTCAGCAGCCTGCTTGGCACGTTTACAAGTTCGCTGGAGGTGGCCCAACTCCCCACAATTCCAACAGCGAACTGGTTTCCTCTTCTCATCCAAGAGGCCCTTGATGACGTTGATCGAGGCTCCATTTGAATCTTGCCTGTGGCTCTCGGCTATGTTCTCGCTTTCATTCATAGCTCGTACCTTCGCGGATCCTCAAGAAGCGGCCTCGGTCTCAAGCGCAGCAGTCAGAGCGCTGGTGAGGTCTTTTGGTCGAGTGAGGCGAACTGTTTTCTGCATTTCAATATCTCGTAGTCCATCTACGAACGTTTGAACAGCCAAGAATTCCATAAGAGATTCGGGAGCTGAGCCGCTATCTATTCCGTAATCTGTTCCGTAATCTTCTCCTGCTGAGCCACCATCTGGGCCGCAATGTCCTGTCGCTGAGCCGCTATGTCCTGTCGCTGAGCCGCTATCTGTTCAGAGATCCCAGCCAACATCGATTCCGCTGAAGCTGGTTCCTCGAAGGTGAACGTCTCTGGGTCCTGACCTACGCTCACCATATACTCTATGAGACGATGCTGAAGTGTAGCCTTGATCCCTGTTGTGTCGAGATCTCTCTCCTCCGATTCGCGTTTCAAGTCCACCACTCTCAACTCGTGTAGTTTCTTCATTGCAATGGTCTGTTCACTTCACACTGGAATATCCCACTTGTGACACCAATTGTAACGTTATTCGGGTGCAGAAGCAAACACGACACTATTTATTTTCGAACTGATTTATTTGAAATAAAAAAACAAGCATTTATATCGAACTCATAACTACTATTTATGTAAAACGATTTATATCACGCGGTATATAACTGTCTTTCTGACACTCGCTGTTCGACTCCTGACGGCAGTTATCCGGCCGTTTATTTATGAGATCACTTGGCAGGCTACGGTTCGAGAACCTTCTCGAATGATCTTCCGTCTCCTTCTTTTTGTTCTAGAAGCTTCTTAGAACAAACCTCTCTTTCTAATTGTTCCATCGATTGTTTCCAGAACATTCCAGAATCTTCTGTGACGTTATCTGTCACTGCGGCATATATTGAGTGTTCGGAAATATGCTAGTGTATGTAGGAATCATTGGGAGGTAGGAGAACGATCTGGAATGCGTGTTACAGGATGAGCGTTGTACTCCTGTCCTACTGATGATGTTTCTAAAGCCCCTCTAAGGGAAATATCATTAAAATAATATGGTCGCAAATTAGTGACCAAATTCACGAGAAAGACTCGTTCGATACTTCCATCAGTGGGAAATGGCTGATTCAAGTTCAGTTTTTCCAACTGATATTGAGAAAGCAGCCTGAAATGCATTACTCTCTTCGTCCAACCACATATTCGGTAACGTAACTGGTGCGCTGTAGTGAATAATATTTCATCACCAGTTGAACCAGTTATGTTATATTTCACTTTACACCACAGGTTATACGAAAAGTGAGAAGTTTCAAAATTTCCGTAGTTTTGAAAAGTTTCACATTACATGTCAAATCAAACAAAAAAGAATTTCGAGCCAAACTCAATTTCCAAGGGATATCCTGAAACAGGTTGATTTTAATTCTCAATTTCCACATTTATAATAGACAATTTCTTGAATGGAACATCCTATCGACTATTGAATTCTCGAAATCTTCATGGAAAGCTGAATTCAGGGTGTTCCATTGAAAAAAAAAAACAAAGCTTATAGCCTACCCGAAAAAACGAATGACACTGTATATAAAACAACTACACAAAATTAAAGTTTGGGTGGTTTCAAACAACTTTTTCATTTAACATTCCTCGATATTCCTATAAAAACAACATAATGACCTCTTTATACTGAACTTGCCTTGAATAAAGTACCATTCCTATTTCACATTCCTGAGGGAATTTAAGACTAAGAAAATTGTTTGAAATGATGTCTTAGTAAAAAGAAATTATCATAGAGATTTTTTTTCGTGCACTTCAAGCGTTGAAGAAAATAACTTATCCGAGTGCTTCGTGATTTTTCTCATTTTATAAGGATGCTTGCCAAAAATTCGACGGATGACGTCACAATGTGTCCATGATGATTGCAGACAAAAAGGTTCCTGCATGATCCGCCATTTTGAAAACAAATGTCATTTGAAGAGTATTTTTTCGCTCTATCGACTTACGTAAAATTATTCATACAGAGTGCTATTTGAATTTCAGTAACATTTTGGGGCAAATCCTCTGATTTGTCATACTACTTGTACAGTGTGCAACATATGGAAATTTTTTTGATGAATTGCGAAACCAAAACACAGATAGTGCCAAAGGTTGGTGCATGTTCGGTAATCATTCAAGGTGCACTTAGAATCGTTGCGAGTCAAACAGCATACAGGGTATAGGTCAAAAAATATAAAAAATGCTCAGGAGTAAAGTACACTTATTTCAGAAAATTCAGCAACCTGTTATGGAAAAAAGCTGTTTACAATTGAGAGTTTTTCCTGAATACCAAAACATGGCCTCGAGAGACATATTCTAGTTTCAATTTGTTCCATTAATAACTTCCCAATCTGTATTTTTTTTATATTCACCCTAAACACTTTCATTATTTGATCATAACAAAATCAGTTGAGAATACTTTTGTTCAAATCAATGCATCTTTGTGCAATCAACTCGGATTTTATTTCTTTAGGGAATCACAAACTTGATGTTTGTTGCAACGATATACTGCTTAATTTTGAGATTTCGCAAACCATACATGGTTGTCGATCAATTTGTACAGCTTTTTCATGAAGATTTCAAATAAAAAATGTTGTTGAGCTGAATATCGTTGCAACAAACATGAAGTTTGTGATTTCCTAAAAAAATTTGAATCCAAGTTGAATGCAAAAATATGCTTGAATTTGAAAAAAAATTGAGAATTTATTAACGAAAAGAATTGAAGAACTGAAGGATGTCTTAGGAAGCCTTGTTTTGGTATTAAGGTATGAATTTTAATTGTGAACAACTTTTCTCAATTTTGAAATACGAGTACTTTACTCCTGAGCACTTTTCATATCTTTTTACCTACCCTGTATGCTGTTTGACTTGCAACTAATTTGAGTGCACCAACTCTTGGCACTATCTGTATTTTGGTTGTGCAATTCATTAAGAAGATTCCCATATGTTGCACACTTAAATGATCACACTGTATATTGAAATTATGCTCATATTTTCATTTTGTAGGAGCGAGGAAGAAAAATCCCAAATAATCAAGTAAAATGAATGTAACATCTTTTCGATCAACCTACTGGCGGTTTTTCGAGCCGTCATTGCTTGAGATTTGACATTTCATGAAAGATGAATGAAGTCATAGTGATATCCGAAACGCAAATGAAATTGATCACATACAAAGTACCTCATTGATCACATACAAAGTACCCCATTGACGAACGGAACATTTTGGTTAAGATGCCTATAGACTGGTGTAACGAGTCCCCTATTCTATATTATTCCCAAAACCTGTACGACGAAATCGGCAACCAGCCACCTTGATGGCAAGCGAGAAGAAGATTTCTGAAACCGCCACGAGTGGCGCTGCTCCTCATGTCCAGCAGGCACAAAATGCAGAGTTGCCGGTTGGCAAAAAAATTACCTAAATCCAAGATTTATTCTTCATAATTTTCACATTACTAGAAAATCTGCTATATACAAAGAGAAGAAATTGTCAATGACACATGATGGAAAAATGGATTTATAACTTTGACTTGTTTTTTATTATATTCCATTCAGGCGTGATGGAGTATTTTGAAGTATCATAATTTTCGCAATGTCAGTCATTTTTATCTGATGGAATAAGATGTTATACGCAAATCACGATACATATTATGATGTAATAAATATCTGGGCCGCTATATGCCATATTCCAGAACCCGAAAGTCTCGAGTGAATTGCTCGCCAAAAATCGCTTCTTGGTCAATTCGTAGGAACCTCTAAACTGTCGTTCATGAAAAAGGGCGTTGTCATTCTTTTTGGTGTTGAAAATCATATGAGTAAGAGTAAGTAGTCAGACACATGATCGGTCCTAAATGCGCATGTTTCATGTTTTCCAGTTAAATTTCGTGAGAGGCACAGCTTATAGTTGCGTTTTATTTGTACCATTCTGTTAGCAGTGGTGGGAACAGAATGACGTTTACAAATAAAACGAGTAACTTCATAGCATCCTTTTTATGACCTTGCATGAGAGAATTGACATATATATAGAATATAAAGGATTTATTTATACATTTGGGCTCCGAATAATTTCAAAATCCTGATACTAGAGTTGAGAATCTCGAAAATGAATCGACGAATATTTGAAGCAGTGATTGTGGTAATGGGAGAAACTTCTCTGAGATCGAGAGAATTCATTTAATCTGGGAATCAACATATGGAACCGGACTTACTTTAAAGAATCGTATATACTTGTGAACCTTACGATAAGAATGTATTCTTAAAGTCTTCTACCTTCAAAATGTTTCGTTTTTCGTCAATTCAATGCGATTTTTTGACAAATGTCAACAGTCATTCCGCATCATTCGTTGTAGTCAAACGAAATGGAAAGTAGCAATCGGAATCGGAAAAGTTGCAAATAAAACGACACATTGAAGTGATTCCGGTGGCGGAATCGGACAAATGAAATTATATCTTATTGTCCTACTAGTGATCTAGATATTAATAGTTTATGTCAGTGTAATAAATGATTGGCACTTCTGTGAAAATGGTAGGTACCTTTAACAATCAATCAAAATCAAATCAAATCATTTATTTTCCATAACTGACAACATACATTGTATAGGAATAGTCAAAGATACTAAGAAACTTACGAACTAAAAAAAGAAAAAAAATAGAAAACTTACATACTAATGAGTGTATATGACAAATAGGAATATTACGTACACAAAAACTCGTTCACAGTATAAAAAACTTTGCCAACTAAAAATATTTTGATTTGTTTTTTGAATTCTGTTTCCTTTTCACAGTTTTTTATTGATTCAGGTAATTTGTTGAATAATCTTGGCCCAATAAAGTTTGGCGATGAACTGGTAATATTCAATCTGGCAAAGGGTATCCGCAAGTTATTTTTTTGTCTCGTATTGAAATTGTGCGTATCATAATTTTTCGGTGTAACTTCTCTATTTCTATGGACAAATAAACATATCTCAAAAATGAATAATCCAGTCAGAGTTAATATGTTAAGTTTTTTGAAAAGATCTCTGCAAGAGTGTTGTCTTGGTTTTCCTGTTAAGCACCTTACAATTCGTTTTTGTGCAATGAATATGTTTTTAGAATGTATGGAATTGCCCCAGAAGTTAATTCCATATCTCAAACGAGATTCCACCTGTGCATAGTAAAAGTTCATCAATTGTTCATGAGTCAAAATAGTCTTCAAATTGTATATCAAGTAATAGAATGAGTTAAGTTTAGATGTTAATGATTCACAATGTGTTTTGAAATTTAGATTCTTGTCTAGTTCAATACCCAGAAATTTCACAGTATCGCTGGTTACAAGTTGTTGACTGGATAATTCGATAATGAAATCCTCACTGCTGTAACGTTGAGCTGTCTGAAATCTGACGATAGATGTTTTATCTGGATTGAATGATAATTTATTCGACGAAAACCATCTCATCAAAGACTCTAATATAAATTCACATTCATTTTGTAGGATATTATTGGATTTGTTCGAAATAATCAATGATATATCATCAGCATATAATGTGAAATGAATCCTAGGAAATATTGTACCAATTTCATTAATGTAGAGAAGAAATAGTATAGGGCCTAAGATAGAACCTTGTGGGACACCTACAGTGACTTCTGAATTGGAAGATGATGCATTTTCTAATTTATTCTGATTTTTATATTTTAAGCTCACATATTGCTCGCGATTTCTCAAGAAAGATGCTAACCAATCTAGAGGTATGCCCCTCAAACCGTAGGAATATAGTTTATCTAGTAGTTTTGCATGATCGACACAGTCAAAAGCCCGACTGAGATCACAAAAAATACCCGCCGGACTTTCGCCGGCCTCGATGAATTTCAATATTTCTGAATAGAAGGACTGTATAGCCGTGTTTGTAGACATACCAGGGCGAAAACCATGCTGTTGTTCACTTACAATTTTGAATTTTTTCAAAAACTTCTCTAATCTGTCAAGAAAAGCATATTCTAATATTTCGGAAAAGCTACTCGGGACAGTAATTGGTCGATAATTACTGAGCTGTCGAGTATCATTTTTTTTGTGAACTGGAATAATTTTTCCGATTTTCAGCATTTGCGGAAAGCGTCCCGTTTCGAATGACAAATTTACCAAATACGTGATCGGAAGAATAATATGAGGTAGTGATAACTTGATTAAAAAATTCGGAATTTCGTCGGGCCCAGCTGATTTTTTATTTTTAATTTTGTTGTTTAGCAAGATTAGTAAATCCTCTGGAGAAAAAGGCTCCAAGTATAGTGAAGAATTATTGGGGGTGATGTTTTCTGTTGCTGGAGTACTCACAGGAGGAATTTTATTGATCAACTCAAGAGGCGCTGAAATGAAAAAGTCGTTGAAAATATTCGCGATTTGCTGGGGGTCTGAATGAAGAACTTCATTTTTTATTATTTCAATATTTCCATTTTTTGTTTTCGACTTATTCGTGACCTCTGATATGATTTTCCATGCCGTTCGGGTTTGGTTATTGGATCTTGTTATAGTATTTTGGTAATATGCCTTCTTTGTATTTTTTATGAGTTCTCTATGTTGCTTCTTGGCTTCTCTATAAATATCTTCATAATCACGAGAGCATTTTCGCAAAAAGTATAGTTGTTTCAAATAATTACTTGATAACTTATCATCCACCCAGTGTTTATTTGTTGAGTTATTTGAGTAATAACTGCGTAAGGGGAAAAATACATTGAAGTAGTGACCAAAAGCAGTGTGAAAATTCGAAAATGCATCATCTACATTATTTAGAGTATAAACATCTTCCCAATTTTCCTTTGAAAGATCACTAAGAGAGTTTTGAATCGACCCATCATTGTAACTCCTTCTGATGGTTGTTGTCGGAGGTTTGAGATCACTTTTAATACCCAATCGGTATAAAATAGTGCGATGGTCGGATATATCATTATCTATGACAATTGGAATCTCATTTGTATCAAAATTGATGAAAATATGATCGATGGTCTTGATGCTAGTTCCAGTAACTCTCGTAGGCCATTTAACAAGGCTTTTCATATTGAAACACTTCAACAGTCTCGAAAGATCTCGAAAATCATTAGATTTGTTATAAGAGTCTATGTTCATATCCCCAGTTAATATAATTTGAGCTTTATAATGGCTGATAGTATTCAAGACATCTACTATTCGTTCTGAGAATAATTCAAAATTCCCGGAGGGGGATCTATAACATGATAAAATTATTGAATTTATATTATTTTCTGTAATCATAACCGCACAAACTTCGAAGTGCTTTTCTTCACAATATTCTGATAGATTTATAGGTTTGGCATTTATAAATTTTTTTGTCCATATAGCAACTCCACCACACTTCATGGTAGAACGACAATAACTACTCATCAAAGAATAATCACGCAAGTGTAGGCAGTTTTCAGAGATCGAAGTTTGGTGCGTTTCAGTGAAACATAAAATTTTCAAATTCTCAAAGTCACGAAGATCCACTGCTAACAAGTCAAGTTTATCCTGATTGAGGCCTTGAGTGTTCAGAACTACCATATCGGGATCAAACATCAGATTGGCTGTGGAACAGTCCTCTTTCTGCCTAAAAAACGTTGAACACAAGCTCCAAATGGCCAAACTTCGGGATTCATTGCAAGTTTAAAGTTGCATTCATGTATCCTGATTTTGAAGGAAGAGTATAATGTTGGCTGTCTAGATTTGATTAGTTCACATTCCACTACAGTGAAATGCTTCTTCAACAGATTCTCCAGGTCTTCAGAAGTGGTTGAGGTATCCAATCTGCATACATGCAGATCAACATATTTCGGCACCCCTCTTATAGATGAGTCCTTATAATTATTTCCAATTATCATTGAGCGTCTATTATTCCGTCTTGGTTTCACAGTTTTCCAATTCGAATCTTCTGGTTCGTCGCTGTTTGAAATTATTTTATCATTTGGATTCTTGTCTACTTTTCTTTGTTGGGTAATATTTCCTAAATTAATATATTTATCCAGTTTTTGTTCACTCTCAATTTTGTGAATCTCCCTTGATAAATCTTGCTTTGTAATTGTTTTGGAAATTCCCGTGTTTTTATTTGCAACAGGTTTATCAGAGGTCGTCGCACCTTGTGCTATCAGTTCTTTTTTCGATGGAGGCTTTTTTGCATCCTTTTCAGTATCTGGTTTTTGTGGAATCATTATTGGAGTAGGTGAATAATTATTGTTTACTACCATATTGCCAATTTGATTATTCAGCATTGTGATTTTATCTCTCAGTTCTTGGATAAGTAGATCTTTCTGTTTAAGAATATATTTGAAAATAACTATATCAAAATTAGGGTTGGTATTTGTCATTTCATCAAGGGCATCAAAGAAAGCAGCATCTTCGCATTCACTAGTTACTGTCATCTCACCTTCATGTAGACATTCGGGATTTTTTCCAGTCAGTGACTGTTTCCAACACCCTGGGTGGAAACTGAACTTGCACTTCACACATATCAGTTTGTCCTTCACTATCATTCGTTTGCACTGTTTACAACCGCTATTACTTTTGTTTTCTAAGAGAGCAGAATCACTACAAGCTGAACCTGCGGCCATTTCGCACCAATAACGGCTCTGTATCCAGCTTCATGACATAAAAGAATAGAAAATGTATGGATGAAACAGGCAAGTAATCTTGCTATTTCAACCATTCGAGTAAAGAACAGAATTTGAGAGTAGGTAATCTTCTTAATAATGATTGTCTCATCCCACAGAACTTAGCCTAGTTCTGTGAAAATGCCCATGCTTCTGATAATTTCGGATTCAGACTGTTTATTTTTTGCAAACCAAGTGAATTTTATGATTTTGCACCAGTTGATAAAGCAGATTCATGCTCTTGCGTTCATAATATTGATGAAATACTAACAAGACTGTGAATACTGTGTCACACGGTCCAACAATTCGATCAAACTACAGATCAGTGATGTCATCAGTGACGTCAATTCAAACAGCAGCGGAAATTAAGAATTCATTTTATATCTTAGGAATCAACAAGAAATACTATCATTAATATTATCAATACTTCTAAATTGCATGTCCTGGTAATTGGACTGAGGACCACTTCGTATAATTATAAGAATATTTTCGTTTTGCTTCAATCCCTTGGTTGATTAGATACTTTGTTATGATCTCAGCTCATTTCTGGAGGTATACGTACACGCGCATATATATGGATTGATAAAAATCTGAAACATCTCCCATCCATCTTTAGGTAGTCTTGGAATTAACTATGGAATATCTTCCAGTCTGACTTCATAAAAAATCAGGACTCCTCTTCGAATATTTCTTCTTTGAAGCCATTATATCTTATTGTATATATCTCCCTCTTTTTTTAAAATCACTTCGCATTACAAATACAACACAAAATATACTTACCATAGAATGAGTTTTTGTTTAATTTTTCCTTGTGATTTTTCCTATTTCAGAGAACCTACTTAGCCAATATTTTTGTTAAAAAATCCACAGATCGTGTGACAACGATTTCTTGACATTTCAAACGATTTGAGTCAAACAGGCAAGAATGACGTCACCTTGAACAAATTTGATCAAATTGTTGGATCGTGATCGAGACACGACCTTTACAAACAAAATAGGGTCACGATTTTTCCTTTGCATGAAATTACCATAAAACTACAACTGGCAACGCTGGTTTGGTTTGACCTGGAAACGATGACATTCCAAAATGGCGGTTTCGGCCTTTTCGGGTTTTGTTTATAGTTTGTTCTCTCGAATATCTAGTTACAGATAATTTGGTCCTATTTTAACTTGAATGAATTAACATAAGAACTTGAAAGTGTTCATGATTGTTTTTCGTTCGTGAAGTGAATTTTGAGACTACAAAATGGATTCATTATACAACTGAACACCACTCACAAGCCAGGACTGCCAGGCCAGGAGGAAACAGTTTCAAATGTAGAATGTAGTTCACGTAAGTATTGAATAATTAATTGTTTATTCTTTCCTTTCACATATTTCACAAATGGTATTTTTATACTGGAAGTAAAAGTGAATATATAAATGGGAGGATGGGTCAACTCTTACCTCCCTCTGGAGCTCCCTATTATTATACTCTCCTAGTCTCAAAAATGTGTTCATACCTCAGATGTCCATACCATGACTGATCAAAAAGTGATATGCAATGATTATCTGGCATTGATTTAATTGTTTGCACAGTTTACACATAAATACCTACAATGTGAAAATTCAAAACCTAATATATCTGTGGCACATTATTCTGTAATCTGTATTTGCAACCCTAATAACACACGTTATCCAGACGACATCCATTTTATATCCATTTGCCGTCCAAGACATCCATGGACGCCAAATGGAACTATCTTTTGATGTACATTGTTGTATATCCAGCTGATGATCTAGTATGTACTCCATCTGGGAGCATATCTATGTCCATGGACGCACATCGAATAGCCACTTGGATGTCCATACCGGATACTTGGCAGTACATATTGGACATCCATAAGTGTATTGTCGGGATGTCCATTGTAGCGAGAAATTTTGAGAAGAGTGAAATGAGAAGAAGAAGATCTGAATTCATCTGTCAGAATTCGAAACATAAGATAGGTTATGTTTATTTCATTCATTCATTTTGGTGGACTTTCATGATAATTACTAGTATTTTATAGTTGAATTATGCCCCAGTTTCCTGCTTTATACGGCCTTCATACAAGTAAGTTCTTATTATTTCTGTGTCTATTCAGGTGTTCCTAATTGCGAATTGTTATGATAACATAACATATTTCTTGGATAGGTAGGTAAAACACCCTTCACCAGAATGAACAGAAGGAAAAGGATTTGAAACAGGTTCTTCCGACGTATCTACTATAAAGTAGAAAAAAATTCATCGGATGTTGACAAACTCTTGAATGATACGACAACAGATGATGTGTGGGCAAGAATCACTGATAATTTCGCAGATTGAGGAATTTTCATCTTGGGGCCAATTATCTTGCTCATCGACCTAAACTGACGATACAAATTTATGGAACGCCTTTTTCACTACATGTGGCTCTTACATGATGAGGCTCCAACACATTACACTCTGAATGTCCATTGCTGTTTCATTCAACAGTTTTCAGATAATAAGTAGATGAAACGGCAGAGGAAATATACTATAGTTTATGGGGAGCAGTACCTATGAATTTTAAGGTGTACTTCAGACCAGTAAATACTGAACAGGAATTATGGAGACAGATTCAGAATGCATTGAATATTTTCAAAAACAATGCAGAAACGATGCAAAATATGCATTTCAGTTTTTGTGCTGCAAGTGCATTGAACCACTTCTTTTTCAATTTATTATCCTAAGTAGGTACTATCTATTTTCTTATCATATTATATACTTCAGGTTTCACCCATGAACAATGTTTGAAATAAAAGAAAATAACATAACCTGTCTTTTGAATGCGTATAGGTTGGTATATATGTCCAATATATGGACACCATATGGATGTCCATAATGGACACCAAATGGATGTCCATAATGGACACCAAATGGATGTCCATCATGGATAACGTATGTATGTCCTAAAATGTGGAAAGCTGATTACCTATGGACATCCATAGGATGTCCTGTGTACACAAAGTGGTTATCCTATGGATGTCCAGGGTGTCCGGGTGAGGATATCCATTGGATGTCCAATGGATGAAGGTGTGTTATTAGGGAATAGGCTTTGTAATAATTATTTCATCAAATTAGAATGTTGGATATTCAATAACATTTTTTGTCTAGTACTTACCTTGTTTCTTCTGCTCATTTGTGTCTTGATCTGTGCTATTTGAAATTATCTTGTGGATTCTAAGCATTTAGAAAACTTGAATAGATTTTCTCATAAATTATTTTATTGGATGAAATATTGCCTGCAAAGTTGAATGCCTTTATTTTCAGGTTATTTTGGAGACATTCAATGAGGAGGAGAAAGTTGAAACACCTCTACTCACATTGATCACTGCAATTGGGAGCCCTGAGTATTCGAGTGATATTATGCACTCAAAGAATACCATAGCCTGGATTTACCCTTCAAAAATCTCCATCATGAAGAAATATCTTGAAACCTATGCCTCTTGGCCTGCATAATGCTGAAACATGTCTACCAGAGCAGGGTCTCACAGAGTATTTTCCTGTTTTTTGGCATGATACTGCCATGATCAACACAACCAATGAACTCCAGACTATTTAAGGGTATAGGTATGTATGTAACTTTTTATATTTTTAGCTAATAATTTTCCTTGCATGTCTGGTTTTTTATTTTTTCTGTACCCTCCTCCCCTGTATGACAGTTTCTCTTGTTTTGTCATCATGAAATTTTGTAAACTGTGTTTTTTCTGTGACATCTTGATTTATACAAAAATATTTTAAACTTATGAAAATCATGGAAACTTCTTTGATTTTTCCTTGACCCTACTACAGTGTAGTCTCAATTACCACAAAAATTAACTCAACTCATGAATATACATGATATAGTGCCTTCTAGGAGACCTACAAACTTTCTTTTGTATATTTATGACTAGGTAATAGAAAATTAGATTATTTATCTATTATTTATCCTTGGATTTATATATCCTCCAAAAATACCTAGTATCTGTAAGATAGTACAATCTAGAGAGGCTAGAAAAAAAAAATCAAGAATATCTAGGTTATCTGATCATTTTTGCTCCTCTGGTACCATGGTGATGAACATCTGAATGGGTTTTTGATATTGGAGATTTTTTGTGAATTTCATTGACCCTGTGAAAAGTGACAGGAGAGTGAAGATTTTGAGTTTATTTGAAAGATGTCTGCAAGATTCTCTATAATTTTCATCAAATTCAGTTACTCAAATATTTTTGATTCGTGATTACACTCAACCATTTTTTTTTTGGTCAAAGTAAACTTGAAATTTTTTATACTTTTTGTTTGGTTTCCTTCAGAAAATCCAACTCATGAAACTGACAGAAAACTCCTGATCTTCCTGAAAACATTTTTTTTCTTTAATTTTCAGGAAATAAAATTCTCATCTAAATGTCAAGTTCAGTTTGACAAAAAAAGCTCTCTATAAGTGAAAACGAGAGGATTAGCATCCAAAAATACCCAGTCTGAAAGAGTTTATCAAAAACCATGAGAACAAAAAAAAGCAATAATTGAGCATCTCTGTTTTTTTTAGTTTGAATGGAAAATACAATTTTTCACATGGAACCTTTTTTTTGTTATCATTCAAGTTGTAGAAAAAAATTATGAGAAAAGTGTTTTCAAGAAGAAAGTACTGATAATAATGGTGATTGTGGTAGTACTTTTGCACTCATTAAGAGGAAAACAGATTATACCATTATCTAACATAATTTTTTCTGTTGTAGAATTGTGCATTAATGTTTAGCTGATGATGACTAGCAACAAGGGCCCATGGGGATCCACTTTTGTCTGACAGGATGAGCCTCCCCACAATATTACTATTAGCTGAAGATGAGCCCATATAGGTCAAAAC